TTGCTGGATTTAATAATCGACACAAAGCATTACGTAGATGTAAATACGAAATAACAAAACAACTGGAAAAGTACTAGTCTGGATTTGCTAGTTTTATCTCAGAGCTCAATACAAAATGTACTTTACAGGAGGTAATTTGTAGGGTCTTTCAACATTAAAAAATAAGTCCAAATTGACATGGCAGAAACAGGCTATAGGCATTATGCAAATTAGCCTGGAAAAAAGTTATCAAAACAACAATAAAAAATAACAGCTATGTTTATGTACATAATAATAATGACATGTAAGTTGTTGTTTGAGAAGGGAATATGTTACTTTTACGTTCTGATATTTTGACGGATGATTCACTATCCCACAATGCCACTCACAAATCACTAACCACTGACAAATCACATGCACGTGGGTTTCAAGCACCTGTTTTCACCTGTCGTCAAGGTGTCATAGGTCATGGACAGTCACCTTGATCTACTAACACCTGGTTATGCTCAGTTTCACAATAGTCTGTTTTGTTCATATTTTTACACACTTTTACGTGTAAAAAGACATAAAAACCTTTGATACGCTGTATTTGTGCCAAGGCCCAATTAGTACTAATTGAGTTGTTTGAATATATATATATATATATATATATATATATATTTGTATATTACTGCATTTATTTAAAATCTGAGATCGAAAAAGCAGGGTTTTTTTTCATTTCCGTGAGTACTTTAGTGGTTAAGACCATCGCTCGTCAGGCCGAAGGCCAGGGTTCGATTCCCCACATGTGTACCATGTGTGAAGCCTATTTCTTGTGTCCCCAGTCTGATATTGCTGAAATATTGCTTATCGCGGCGTAAAACCATAATAACTCACTCACAGACGACTATTACTGACGGCGGCCTTAACAACATTCACTTACTCCCCGAATGCTACGCAAGGGAGAAATTCCAAAGCGAAATGGATCCCCAGTGTACTAGCTTTTCACGAACGAGGTCACCCATATTTGGACGGGGTTGTGTCAATGAATACTGAGTGAACATGATGGGGATTATACTTGGCAATATAACCGGGGGGAAGAGACCATCACAGGGGTCAGCAGGATGCGGGTCTTTATAGCCCGAAAATGCCGGTCTCCCTAACTCAGTTGACTCGTTGTAAATGAATGTGCTGCTCACAAAATATGATGCATTCTACTTTTGACAGATTTAACGAATTTATCGGCTGTGTCGGCTGTGTCGTTGCTGGAGAAAACAGCCCGCATCAGCGCGTCGCACTAACTGTATCACACTTAGCGGACAGTGTGGATGGATATACGTCACGTGACACGCACGCACGTGAACTCAAGAATTGTTTTTGTATATTATTTCACCTTATTTTCTTTTTAAGTATTAAGATAAACAATCTGTTACAACTGTACTTGACTCTGACGTCATAATGTTTGCGGTTGATTGTCTTCATTTTGCCTCGGTATTATTTAAATGGTTTCCGTCCGTCCGTCCGTCCGTCCGTCCGTGTGTGGGTGCGTCCCGAAATCGTTTCCGGAGCATAACTCAGAAACCATTAAATATTTCTCTACGAAATTTTGCATGTCTATCAGACTCATGCTGATTTGGTGCCTTTTGCTATTTAGGAATTTTTAGAATTTTTTATTGTTTACGTTTCCATGGCAACAAATTGGACTTAGTTTTTTTGGGGTTGAGTTCGTTTCCGGAGCATAACTCAAAACCCATTCAAAAGTTTCTAACAAAGCTTTGCATGTCTAACAGGCGCATACTGAACTGGTGCCTTTTGCTATTTAGGAATTTTAGAAAAGTTTATTTTAGAATTTCAATTGCAGCTATTTTGATATGGGCTAAGAGAAATGTTGGGTCAGTTACCTGGTTTGGGTTCATAACGTGTTAAAATGGGCGGGGGATTTAGGTGACTTCGTCGACTATACGCTTGTTTATGTTTAGAAACAAAACATGCGAAAACGCCCGTATATAAAAGTATTAGCATACACTACGATCTGTTCGCCAAATAGATTGGGTACACCAAACGATTTTACCTTTATTCACAGAAATATAGTTATAAAGTGTGAATTCACGATGACAAAATCCTATGCAAACTTGAGGATGTACATCTAGTAAAAACAATGTCAAATTCTCAAAGCAGAATATTTTATGATGTATGATTAAAATAAATTTCGTTTCATTTACCTGTTTATATGAAATTATCAGCACGAATTCCTAAAGGAAATATGTACATTCGGCCGTTATAATACATTTGCATTGCATCTTATGAAAGAAATATAGTATGGGACACGATGACTGTCAATTTAGTAAGTACCGTGAATTCTTGTTTGTTTGTTTTTTTAACGCCGCACTAGGCAATATTCCAGCTATATGACGGCGGTCTGTCAATAATCGAGTATGGACCAGATAATCCAGTGATTGATATCATGAGCATAGATCCACGCAATAGGGATACGATGACATGCATCAACCATGTCAGCCCCATCCCGTTAATCGCCTCTTATGACAACACGGTCGCCTTTGTCTTGTTCTTGTAAGCATGGGGACTATACATTTTATTATCACTCCATAGTCTGTGTAACAATTTCGAAATAATACAAACTAGATATTGGTTGTAAGACGCGACGAATTCATCGTCCTGTTGATTCTTACGTTATACGTGGATCGATGCTCATGATATCAATCACTGGATTGTCTGGCCCAGGCTCGATTATTTAGAGACCGCCGCCATGCAGATGGAATATTGCTGAGTGCGGCGTTAAACAACAAACTAACCAACCAAATCTTACGTTATACGGATTGTTTCTAGCACCATACCCGTGCTCGTCATCTTCCCGAGGCAAGAGAGTTAACTGACTTTGAAAGTCCAGTTTCCACCCTTGCCGAACTATGCTGGAATTACTGGGCTCGTTCGTAGCGCCACCAGTGGCTGTTACGAGTTAAGTCCCTTCTCTGCCTCTCCTATGGACCAATCAGATTCCACCTCTCGTTTCACTTGCATTTGCTTCAAACAAAATGGCGGCGCCCAGTCAAGACGATCTGATCGACAATCAAGATCTTTATTGTGAGAAAACGGGTCTTGCATCGCGAAGTGCATCAAATCACGTAAGCACCTTGATTAAAAACTTGAAAAGATTTGGAAAATATCCTTTATGCTGTGCAAATCCTCCAATCGACCGAAATCTGCCTGACAGTTTACAAACCGGGTTTCGGTGCGCGATTTTGATTGGACCATGCATAGACTCGTTAGTCCAGCCAAAATGTAACGCCCTAATACCAGCCTAGTTCGGCAAGGGTGGAAACTGGACTTTTATAGTTAGTTAACTCCCTTGCCTCGGGAAGATGGTGCTCGTGGGTTTCACCAAAGTGGTAAACGTGTAAGACCGACATCACCTCAGGCCGTGTTCCCACGTCAAACTGACATGCCGTGGTACAACGGGAATACTGTTCAAAGCAGCGTTAAACCTAACTCACTCGCGTACTCACAGGTTCGATGCCATTGAAGATCAGAGTTTTCATCGACATTCACGATTGTAAACACAATTGCAAATGTACATTAAAAATCTCATTATGACACCATTAATACCATCAATACCATTTCAACAGTTCTGACGCCACCTGGGTCGGTCGGGTAGCCTAGTGGGTAAAGCGTTGGCTCGTCACGCCGAAGACCCGGGTTTGATTCCCCACATGGGTACAATGCGTGAAGCCCATGCTGGAATACTGCTATAAGCGGCGTAAAACCACACTCACTCTGACACCATCTGCCCCACAATATTTGTAATGGAGGACAACAGATGGACCTGACAATAACAATATTTTATGTATCTACATTGTTAGTATTGAAACAATATGGCCTAGCCGATTGGACTAGAGGGAGGGTAATGCCATCCATTCTATAAAAATTATTGTTTTCCTCATATCAAATAACAGCTTGTAATAATGTTTACAATGGAGATATAGCTGATATTAGAATTCAACTAGTGTCATGTACAGTTGGGCATGTAGTGTCAAATTCCATACATGCACAATAGGTTTTTAGTTTGGGCCTCAATTAATATTCACTCGCGCACGCAGACGTCCTGTGCCGGTATGATTTACTGCGCAATAATTCCACGATATGTACTGATCTGGTAGACATTAAAGATATTACCACGGAAACAAGCTAGACTCAGCTGAAACGGAGGTAAGTGTTGTTTTTGTGGCAGAACTGTAACAATTTTTAAGAGTTTCCATCCAAACTTGGTAGATATATTTATCAGGGGATAAAGTGGTGCCTTTTGCTATTTTTAGAATTTTTATTTTTATGAAAAAAAGTTTGGAATTGACTCGTATCGGTGTGCACCTGACATAGAAATACAAAGTTCCGAATCCCCATTCCATGGTATTGTTTCGATAGGTCATAATTACTCTTGTATACGGACAGACATATTAGATAGAAACTCTCTCAACAAGTTGGACTTACTGTAACAATCGTTCGAATTTGTAGGGGTCGGGGGGATTTGTCGTCTTCTGATGACTCTTGTTTGCATTGTCGCATCCTCCTCATCACATATCATAGTACACTAAAACATACCTAAAACAATTGTCAAATCTTTGCGTTGGGGTTCACATATATTTCCCCGTATATTGTTTATATTTCAGATGCAATTTAAAGCACATCGGGGCGTGCGACATTATACAGTATGATTGAACAAATTTAACTGTGTCTTGGGTATATTTTTAGATGCAAGACATATGTAAAATCAAAAATTATTTCTGAGGGATTCCTTGACAGAACTTGAAAACATACGCGTATTCTGATTGGTTTGTCGTATTTTCGCACATAACATTCATCGATAGGGGGAAGAGTCTTCTTACAGGTTACGCAAAGGGGCGAGTGGTGACGAATGCATTTTCAAGGTAGCCGCAGCTTATGAATTACGTTATGTGACGTTACCTAACGTGACAACATGGGATGCAAATAGACCCATTATGTAAATACATCTATTTTGCTTGTTTCAGAAAAAAATGGGTGAATCCAAAAAGGGGAACGGTTCCTGGTGGCAGATCCTATTGAACGTATTTCTTGTTACCTTGGTAACAGAAGAGAAATCTGAAACGTCGGAAGAAGCTATTGCAGATGCAGACGACGACCACAGCGACCCTCTGAGCAAAGTCCGGTTACCAAGGGCACTGCCCTCCATCGTCGCAATCAAGAGAAAGCTGCCAATCCACTGTTTCGATCCCAAAGTGTCCACATCAATGTATTACGCATTTAAGGACGCAGTGCTTATTGCCATCATATATGTGCTCGGAGAACTAATGTGGAGTTACCTCCCCCTGATTCCTTTCCTGGCCTTGACCCCTGTGTTTTGGTTTGTGCAGGGCACCCTTTTCACGGCTGTGTTTGTTGTGGGTCACGACTGCGGTCACGGGTCCTTCTCCCACCACGTCCTCCTCAACGACGTCGTGGGCACGGTGTTCCACACGTTCCTGTTGTCGCCGTACTATAGCTGGAAGATATCCCATAAGCATCACCATAAGAACACAGGGAATATGGATAAGGATGAGGTGTTCTACCCGGTGAGAAAAGGTGACAGCCACGGTGAAAAGACTCTACCTTGGTTTGGACTTGGAGTGGGATGGTTCGGGTATCTTATTCGCGGCTACAAACCCCGCCAGGTGTGTCATTTCAACCCGCTCCAGCCAATCTTCTCGAAACACGTCATCGCATGCATCATCACGTTGGTTGCCATGGCGATATGGTGTTCATGTCTGTATTCCTACGCGGTGGCGTATGGATTCTGGAAGTTGTTTTACCACTACATAGTTCCCGACCTCGTCTTCGCCTCGTACATCGTCATCATAACCTTTCTCCATCACACCGAGGATGAAATCCCCTGGTACTCGGACCATCTGTGGGACAACGTCAGGGGCCAACTCAGCTCCGTTGACCGCCACTACGGACTCGTTCACGACAGCATCCACAACATCGGGACTCACCAGATCCACCACCTCTTTCCGAAAATCCCTCACTACCATCTGGAAGAGGCCACACATCACTTCCGGAAGGAGTTTCCAGATCTCGTGAAATCTCACGATGAACGCATTTTGCCTGCATTTGCCCGAATGTTCAAGAAGTTCGTTAAACAGAGTGTGATTGCGGATGACAAGGAGGTCCATCTATATAAGTAGATTTAAGAATTTAGTCAATTTTAGTTAATGCGGTGTGCCTTATCATTCCAATGTTTTTTCTTGTCAGATTAATTTGTGTAGCCAAGAAATTGACGTGATTTCTTGAAAGCAACATGGGCTGCAATAGAAAAAATAATGTTGTTTCATCGCCATTCTTAGGAACCGACCTTTTGATATTCCGTGGAGGTTAGGATTTGATATTTTGCTTTAAAAAAGTTGTTACAAAAAACGGAAAAAATGATCAGGTGATGGATACACACAACTAATTGTTCACGAATACGTTCAATACTGATGTTCAGTGGTTCCCGAAAAAAAAATATCGTAAAGCATCTCCACCCCAAATTAACTGCTGTCTGGTCATTTGCAGGAGAAACCAAAATTTGTGTCAAGGTTGGTGAGAAACAATATTTTTGTTGACGTGTCCTTCGTGTGATAGTTTCTAGTCTGTTTCATGTCACCAGGGACTAAACTACTCACAAACAGTTAGGGGTCACCCGGATTCTTTCATATTTCTACAGCTAATCGGTCATATTAACTAGTAATATGAAAGAAATGTGTAATCCTTAAGTTTTTTTTAGTAGTATATTTGGTCGCACTTGTTCTGCTGTTGTTTGCTGGGCGGGTTCGAATATGTGTTATTGTTGGTGTGGGTTAGTTTGTAGTCTATTTTTTTTAAGTATTTTCCTCGTTTGGAAAGTTCAGAATGAAATGTGTCCTGGCATTTCTCTAAAGTGGTGAGTGTGGGGTTTTAACGAAGCTAGTTTTAACTGGGAGAGACGTTTCGGAATTGTGTGATAAGTGCTATCTATTTTACAAATTACAGTGAAGCATCTGATATATGTATTACATTTTGCCATATATTTCCTTGTTGTACACGGTGCCATATTTTGCATTATTACATGGTAACACCATCGCCAAGAAAATTTGAAGTCAAAGATTCGTCAGTATTGTTACATATGTATATATATATATATATTTGCATTCTCCGAAATTTGCCAATCCGAATTTATTTTTGTGTGACTGTTGCCAGAGCGTTATGGTTTAAAATGTAATTTTTAATTTATATTGCCCTGCAAAAAAATGAAAAAAACACAAATTATTAATACATGCATTGTTTCACTGGAGGGACGTTTTCCCTTGTGGTGCCGAAGTCGCATTTTAACCGATGAGGATGTTTGTAGTCGCTGATGGTGTATTGAATGCTAGTCTTGAATTATAGTCAGATACATTTCCATGGGTATTTCAGAACCAAAGAAGTTATAATTAATCTATCCATATATATTACTACTAAAACAATTAAGGATCACCCGATTCTTATATATCACTGTGGCTAACCTGTAGGGTATGACGCATTTACTAAGTAACAAGAAAGAATCGATGGTCCTTAACAAGTTTTAGTAGTATATGGAAAAACTTACTGTGATACCCCGTTATTCCGGCCACATGTCCTGGCCATTAGGTCACGTGTTCATACTGGCCGGATTAACTGGGTAACACTGTCCAGTCAACTCCGGTTGAATAAATATTTTGTCCTCAGGTTTTCAAATATAATAATCAACCATATCGATATTACTATCCTAGTCAATGTATACAGCATGTTGAGGAATTCCACCATTGTAAGGTCGGAATTATCTCCCGTCGTGTCACTGACCTTTGTACAAGAAGTCGGCCGTTTTGATTTTGATTAACACTGTGCTGGTCTGTGTAGACTGACGGCGATGTCGGTTTTGCTTAGAAACGGAATATCATTGCACTTTAACTTTTATGTCTATTGTGTGATGGAAACAAATGTTTTAGAATTTGTTTATGTTCAATTTATTATTATTGTATTGTAGCAATTTTCGGCCTTTTTTCTTGAGTCGGTTTAGTTCATTTTAACTTTATCTTCAATGAGTTTAGTTCTACATTTCCAGTGCCTAAGCCAGCAGATTTCAGTATTTTGTCATGCATACATTATATCCCTTCGTCCATTCATTGTTTATCTTCATCTGTTTTGGGTGGCACAGTCGCTTAAGGCGCCGCAATAAATGTGCAGAGTTGCGTCCCATAGGCGAGGCTGAAATCTATGTTTGTGGGTTCGAATCCCATTTCTCCATTATCCCCAAAGGGGTAAACGCCTAAGACATGCATCACTTTGGTTTGACTTATGGCTCCCACATCAAACTGACACACCAAAGTATAATGTTCAAAGCGGCGTTAAACCTTCCTCACTCACTCTGTATATTACTACGGGATCGGGCCTGGCTGAGATAATGCCTATGTGTCGTTATTCTTTAACCGACAACCAGGCTACGGATCGATCTGTTACAAAAAATACATGAGTATGTACGGTAACCGCAGATCCGATCGCACGACTTTGTTGTCGTCTCGGAAGTCACGTCAGTCAAGTTGTAGGCGTGACCTGTTGGTGTCACGTGACATGATTATTACTTGATCTTCAGTATCGATAATCATCATTATCACCATCATGATCGACATCATAACAACCATCATCATCATCATCCGCCCAGGACTGGCATTGACTTTTCGGAAATGCATTGTGATAAAGGTCCATTTATCTTCTAGCTGGAGTGGGTGTGATTGCTCATCGAGATGGTAAAGAGTGACCCGTTCTAAGCAATACGTTTCAACCTGTCTACAAGATAGAGCAATAAAAAATGTTTTGACCTGACAGTTAATTTATATTATTTTAACGATAGGTGTGTAAAGTGTACAGACAGTCTTTTGAGACGTCGCATCTCTGTGGAGAAAGGGGCGGTCGGGTAGCCTAGTGGTGAAAGCTTTCGTTCGTCACGCCGAAGACCCGGGTTCTATTTCCGACATGGGTACAATGTGTGAAGCCCATTTCTTGTGTCCCCCGCCGAGAAACTGCTGGAATATTGCTAAAAGCGGCGTAAAACCATACTCACTCACTCACTCTGTGGAGAATGTTATGATCGTCAGTTCGAATCCCATACCTGTGCCCGTGAGTTTCACCAACGCGGTAAACGTCTGATACCTGCATCACGTCGTCCCACGTCAGGCTGGCGGGGCGTGATAAGCAGGAATACTGTTACCAGTTCGGATCCCAGGCTCTGCATCATAACGTGGCATCAGGAATTAAATACTTCCGGGTTCCACCACCTGCGTTGCTTCGGACGTAGGCCATTCAACGTCGAGCTGACATGTCGTGATAAAATACAACACTGTTCAAAGCGGCCTTTTACTCGGAGGGCGGTCGGGTAGCCTAGTGGTTAAAGCGTTCGCTCGTCACGCCGAAGACCCGGGTTCGATTCCCGACATGGGTACAATGTGTGAAGCCCATTTCTGGTGTCCCCCCGCTGTGATATTGCTGGAATATTGCTAAAAGCGGCGTAAAACCATACTCACTCACTTTATACTTGGCTAACTCATACACGAGGGCCGCTGGGATGCTCTTGGTTACAGCGTTCGCTCCTAGGTCTAGGTTCGATGCTCATGTTAATACGTCAGCTTGGGTTTTGCTAGAAGTTCATCGAAAGCCGCGTTTTGTCCTGTCATTCATACTGTTATGTTTGTTGTTTAACGCCGCAGCCTGCAACATTCCAGCTATATGACGGCGGTCTCGAGTCTGGACCAGACAACCCAGAGATTGTTATCATGAGCATCGTTCTACGCAATTGGGATACGATGATGCTGCATTAAGTAAGTCAGCGACCCTGACCACCCGATCCTGTTAGTCGCCTATTGTCGTTTTGTCGCCTTTCACGTCAAACATGGGTCCCTGAAGACCTATTCCAACCCGGATCTTCACGGGTCACATCCTTCAATTGAATTAATCGGTAAAGTTAACTCCTAGGAGGCAGAGAAGACACGGATGCTCTCCCCTCGTCACCGCCTTCATCACGTCCTTCGTGTTCTCCTTCCTCCTGCGCCTACTTGTGATGATGCAAGATGCAGATGTCGGCCACATTCTGTCAATCGCCGTACCATCAGATAATATCGACACATCACACATACATATCAGATTTAGCTGTTTGGCCATCTCATTGTCTCATCTCATGTGGGTCTAAAATTTAGTATACTACTCAAAAGAAGTAAAGGACCACCCGGTTGTGTGTGGCCCTTAACTTCTTTTGGGTAGTATGTATGCAGCTATTCGCCCATTTCATCCTATGTTCTTAAACACTGGGGACAAACTAACGTATTTCTCGAATAAGATATCCTGTTTGAAACCAAATGTTTGTGTACCCTGCTGTGATATTGTTTGGATGTTGTTCAACACAGCGTCGCACTATATTCACTGTTCGGCCATTCAACTCCTATGTCTTATGCATATCATGTGTGAGTTGAGCTGTTGTTATCCCATTAACCTACAGGAATAAACGTGACCAACATTCCGATTTTCTTTTGTCGTTTTATGAATTTCACGTAACCATGGCTATACTGCTGGAACGACATATATAACACCACTGAATCATTCCAGTTCATATACCACCAGTGAATCATTCCAGTTTATATAGCACCTCTGAATTATTCCAGTTTATATAGCACCAATGAATCATTCCAGTTTATATAGCACTACTGAATCATTCCAGTTTATATAGCATCACTGAATCATTCCAGTTTATATAACACTTCTGAATCATTGCAGTTTATATAACACCACTGAATCGTTCGAGTTTATATAGCACCTCAATCAATTCCAGTGTTTATAGCACCTCTGAATCATTGCAGGTTATATAGCATCACTGAATCATTCCAGCTCATAAAGCACCACTTAATATTATTCCAGTTTATATACCACCACTGAATCATTCCAGTTTATATAGCACCACTGAATCATTCCAATTTATATAGCATCGCTGAATTATTCCCGTTTATATAGCACCACTGAATCATTCCAGTTTATATACCACCACTGAATCATTCCAGTTTATATAGCATCACTGATTCATTCCAGTTTATATAGCACCACTGAATCATTCCAATTTATATAGCATCACTGAATTATTCCCGTTTATATAGCACCACTGAACCATTCCAGTTTATATACCACCACTGAATTATTCCAGTTTATTTAGCATCACTGAATCATTCCAGTTTATATACCACCACTGAATCATTCCAATTTATATAGCATCACTGAATCATTCCAGCTCATAAAGCACCACTTAATATTATTCCAGTTTATATACCACCACTGAATCATTCCAGTTTATATAGCATCACTGATTCATTCCAGTTTATATACCGCCACTGAATCATTCCAGTTTATAAAGCATCACTGAATCATTCCAGTTTATATACCATCACTGAATCATTCCAGTTTATATACCACCACTGAATCATTCCAGTTTATATAGCATCACTGAATCATTCCAGTTTATATACCACCACTGAATCATTCCAGTTTATATAGCATCACTGAATCATTGCAGTTTATATAGCACCTCTGAATCATTGCAGTTTATATACCACCACTGAATCATTCCAGTTTATATAGCACCACTGAATCAATTCCAGTTAATATAGCACCTCTGAATCATTGCAGGTTGTATAACACCACTGAATCATTCCAATTTATATAGCACCTCTGAATCATTCCAGTTGATATAGCATCACTGAATTATTCCAGTTTATATACCACCACCGAATCATTCCAGTTTATATAGCATCACTGAATCATTCCAGTTTATATAGCACCACTGAATCATTCCAGTTTATATAGCACCACTAAATCATTCCAGTTTAAATAGCACCACTGAATCATTCCAGTTTATATAGCATCACTGAATCATTCCAGTTTATATAGCATCACTGAATCATTGCAGTTTATATAGCACCTCTGAATCATTGCAGTTTATATACCACCACTGAATCATTCCAGTTTATATAGCACCACTGAATCAATTCCAGTTAATATAGCACCTCTGAATCATTGCAGTTTATATACCACCACTGAATCATTCCAGTTTATATAGCACCTCTGAATCATTCCAGTTGATATAGCATCACTGAATTATTCCCGTTTATATAGCACCACTGAATCATTCCAGTTTATATACCACCACAGAATCATTCCAGTTTATATACCACCACTGAATCATTCCAGTTTATATAGCATCACTGAATCATTCCAGCTCATAAAACACCCCTGAATATTATTCCAGTTTATATACCACCACTGAATCATTCCAGTTTATATAGCATCACTGATTCATTCCAGTTTATATACCACCACTGAATCATTCCAGTTTATATAGCATCACTGAATTATTCCCGTTTATATAGCACCACTGAATCATTCCATTTTATATACCACCACTGAATCATTCCAGTTTATATAGCATCGCTGATTCATTCCAGTTTATGTACCACCACTGAATCATTCCAGTTTATATAGCATCACTGAATTATTCCCTTTTATATAGCACCACTGAACCATTCCAGTTTATATAGCACCACTGAATCATTCCAGTTTATTTAGCATCACTGAATCATTCCAGTTTATATACCACCACTGAATCATTCCAGTTTATATAGCATCACTGAATCATTCCAGCTCATAAAGCACCACTTAATATTATTCCAGTTTACATACCACCACTGAATCATTCCAGTTTATATAGCATCACTGATTCATTCCAGTTTATATAGCACCACTGAATCATTCCAGTTTATATAGCATCACTGAATCATTCCAGTTAATATATCACCTCTGAATCATTCCAGTTTATATACCACCACTGAATCATTCCAGTTTATATAGCACCTCTGAATCATTCCAGTGTATATACCACCACAGAATCATTCCAGTTTATATACCACCACTGAATTCTTTACAGTTTATATAGCACCTCTGAATCAATTCCAGTTTATGTAGCACCTCTTAATCATAGCAGGTTATATAACACCACTGAATTATTCCAATTGATATAGCACCTCTAAATCATTCCAGTTGATATAGCATCACTGAATCATTCCAGTTTATATAGCATCACTGAAGCATTGCAGTTAATATAGCACCACTGAATTATTCCCGTGTATATAGCACCACTGAATCATTCCAGTTTATATAGCATCACTGAATCATTCCAGTTTATATACCACCACTGAATCATTGCAGTTTATGTAGCACCTGTGAATTATTCCCGTTTATATAGCACTTCTGAATCATTCCAGTTTATATACCACCACTGAATCATTCCAGTTCATTTAGCATCACTGAATCATTCCAGGTCATAAAGCACCACTTAATATTATTCCAGTTTATATACCACCACTGAATCATTCCAGTTTATATAGCATCACTGATTCATTCCAGTTTATATACAACCACTGAATCATTCCAGTTTATATAGCATCACTGAATTATTCCCGTTTATATAGCACCACTGAACCATTCCAGTTTATATACCACCACTGAATCATTCCAGCTCATTTAGCATCACTGAATCATTCCAGGTCATAAAGCACCACTTAATATTATTCCAGTTTATATACCACCACTGAATCATTCCAGTTTATATAGCATCACTGATTCATTCCAGTTTATATACAACCACTGAATCATTCCAGTTTATATAGCATCACTGAATTATTCCCGTTTATATAGCACCACTGAACCATTCCAGTTTATATACCACCACTAAATCACTCCAGTTTATTTAGCATCACTGAATCATTCCAGTTTATATACCACCACTGAATCATTCCAGTTTATATAGCATCAATGAATCATTCCAGCTCATAAAACACCACTTAATATTATTCCAGTTTATATACCACCACTGAATCATTCCAGTTTATAAAGCATCACTGATTCATTCCAGTTTATATACCACCACTGAATCATTCCAATTTATATAGCATCACTGAATTATTCCCGTTTATATAGCACCACTGAACCATTCCAGTTTATATACCACCACTAAATCTCTACAGTTTATTTAGCATCACTAAATCATTCCAGTTTATATACCACCACTGAATCATTCCAGTTTATATAGCATCAATGAATCATTCCAGCTCTTAAAACACCACTTAATATTATTCCAGTTTATATACCACCACTGAATCGTTCCAGTTTATATACCACCACTGAATCATTCCAGTTGATATACCACCACTGAATCATTCCAGTTTATATAGCACCACTGAATCAATTCCAGTTAATATAGCACCTCTGAATCATTGCAGGTTGTATTACACCACTGAATCATTCCAATTTATATAGCACCTCTGAATCATTCCAGTTGATATAGCATCACTGAATCATTCCAGTTTATATAGCACCTCTGAATTATTCCCGTTGATATAGCACCACTGAAACATTCCAGTTTATATAGCATGACTGATTCATTCCAGTTTATATACCACCACTGAATCATTCCACTTGATATACCACCACTAAATCATTCCAGTTAATATAGCAACACTGAATCCATTCCAGTTAATATATCACCTCTTAATCATTGCAGGTTGTATAACACCACTTAATCATTCCAATTTATATAGCACCTCTGAATCATTCCAGTTTATATAGCACCTCTGAATTATTCCCGTTGATATAGCACCACTGAATCATTCCAGTTTATACAGCATCACTGAATCATTCCAGTTTATATAGCATCACTGAATCATTCAAGTTTATATACCACCACTGAATCATTGCAGTTTATATAGCACCTCTGAATCATTCCAGTTTATATAGCACCACTGAATCATTGCAGTTTATATAGCACCTCTGAATCATTCCAGTTTATATACCACCACAGAATCATTCCAGTTTATATACCACCACTGAATCATTACAGTTTATATAGCACCTCTGAATCAATTCCAGTTTATGTAGCACCTCTTAATCATAGCAGGTTGTATAACACCACTGAATCATTCCAATTGATATAGCACCTCTGAATCATTCCAGTTGATATAGCATCACTGAATCATTCCAGTTTATATAGCATCACTGAAGCATTGCATTTAATATAGCACCACTGAATTATTCCCGTTTATATATCATCACTGAATCATTCCAGTTTATATACCGCCACTGAATCATTGCAGTTTATATAGCACCTCTGAATTATTCCCGTTTATATAGCACCACTGAATCATTCCAGTTTATATACCACCACTGAATCATTCAAGTTTATTTAGCATCACTGAATCATTCCAGTTTATATACCACCACTGAATCATTCCAGTTTATATGCCACCACTGAATCATTCCAGTTTATATACCACCACTGACTCATTCCAGTTTATATACCACCAATGAATCATTCCAGTTTATTTACCACCAATGAATCATTCCAGTTTATATAGCACCACTGAATCATTCCAGTTTATATAGCACCACTGAATCATTCCAGTTTATATAGCATCACTGAATCATTCCAGTTGATATAATACCACTGAATCATTCCAGTTGATATAGCACCTCTGAATCATTCCAGTTTATATAGCATCACTGAATCATTCCAGTTTATATAATACCACTGAATCATTCCAGTTGATATAGCACCTCTGAATCATTCCAGTTTATATAGCATCACTGAAGCATTGCAGTTAATATAGCACCACTGAATTATTCCCGTTTATATAGCATCACTGAATCATTCCGATTTATATACCACCACTGAATCATTGCAGTTTATATAGCACCTCTGAATTATTCCCGTTTATATAGCACCACTGAATCATTCCAGTTTATATACCACCACTGAATCATTCCAGTTGATTTAGCATCACTGAATCATTCCAGTTTATTTACCATCACTGAATCATTCCAGTTTATATGCCACCACTGAATCATTCCAGTTTATATACCACCACTGAATCATTCCCGTTTATATACCACCACTGAATCATTCCATTTCATATAGCACCTCTGAATCATTCCAGTTGATATAGCACCACTGAATCATTCCAGTTTATATAGCACCACTGAATCATTCCAGTTTATATATCATCACTGAATCATTCCAGTTTATATAACACCACTGAATCATTCCAGTTTATATACCACCACTGAATCATTCCAGTTTATATAGCACCACTGAATCATTCCAGGTTATATAGCATCACTGAATCATCATCGAAACTCTCTTCAGACAGTTGACAGTCGCATCACCAACTGCCGCATGCATTCTGCCAGTCTTCATGCCTATAGCGGGGCCGTAGGGGAGTCTGGTAGCTAAAGCGTTTTCTTGCCACCCGGGCTCGATTCTCCTCTTAGGTACAACGCGTGAAGCCAATATCTGGTGTCCTTGATATTGCTGAAAACGGCGTAAAACCATACTCACTCATTGATCCTCTGCATGATGCAACGCCCCTTTAGTCAAGTGGATACAGCGTCTCCCCGGAGAGCGGAAGGTGGGTGGTTCGATGTCCGGCCGCGTTAACTACAACAGACTTTAAGAGGCCGCGTCATACCAAACAAAAATAAAGTGCAGTCTTTGCAGATTTGGATAGACGGTAACACCGATAATGCATATGTTGCGGCGCGTAAATAAGGTTCATTTGCACTATTGTCACTATCAAAGGCTGAAACGACAATACAGCGGAGGCGGAGCCTTTATATACAGAGGCCTCTTTGGAGGAAATTATCTCCAAACCTTTTATCGCACAAGCCCGCACTCTAGAAGGCAAGCCTCCGTTCACTTTCATGGTCGGCTGCACAAAGCAGGAGTAGGGAAGAGTATGAGTACCAAGTGGGGATTCTAGAAGAGTATGAGTCCCAAGTGGGGATTCTAGAGGAGTATGGGTGCCAAGTGGGGATTCTAGAAGAGTATGAGTACCAAGTGGGGATTCTAGAAGAGTATGAGTACCAAGTGCGGATTCTAGAAGAGTATGAGTCCCAAGTGGGGATTCTAGAAGAGTATGAGTACCAAGTTGGGATTCTAGAAGAGTATGAGTCCCAAGTGGGGATTATAGAAGAGTATGGGTGCCAAGTGGGGATTCTAGAAGAGTATGAGTCCAAAGTGGGGATTATAGAAGAGTATGAGTCCCAAGTGGGGATTCTAGAAGAGTATGAGTATCAAGTGGGGATTCTAGAAGAGTATGAGTACCAAGTGGGGATTCTAGAAGAGTATGAGTACCAAGTTGGGATTCTAGAAGAGTATGAGTCCCAAATGGGGATTATAGAAGAGTATTGGTGCCAAGTGGGGATTCTAGAAGAGTATGAGTCCAAAGTGGGGATTATAGAAGAGTATGGGTGCCAAGTGGGGATTCTAGAAGAGTATGAGTCCCAAGTGGGGATTCTAGAAGAGTATGAGTATCAAGTGGGGATTCTAGAAGAGTATGAGTACCAAGTGGGGATTCTAGAAGAGTATGAGTCCCAAGTGGGGATTCTAGAAGAGTATGAGTGCCAAGTGGGGATTCTAGAAGAGTATGAGTGCCAAGTGGGGATTCTAGAAGAGTATGAGTCCCAAGTGGGGATTCTAGAAGAGTATGAGTACCAAGTGCGGATTCTAGAAGAGTATGAGTCCCAAGTGGGGATTCTAGAAGAGTATGAGTACCAAGTTGGGATTCTAAAAGAGTATGAGTACCAAGTGGGGATTCTAGAAGAGTATGAGTGCCAAGTGGGGATTCTAGAAGAGTATGAGTACCAAGTGCGGATTCTAGAAGAGTATGAGTACCAAGTTGGGATTCTAGAAGAGTATGAGTACCAAGTGGGGATTCTAGAAGAGTATGAGTACCAAGTGGGGATTCTAGAAGAGTATGAGTGCCAAGTGAGGATTCTAGAAGAGTATGAGTGCCAAGTGGGGATTCTAGAAGAGTATGAGTCCCAAGTGCGGATTCTAGAAGAGTATGAGTGCCAAGTGGGGCTTCTAGAAGAGTATGAGTACCAAGTGGGGATTCTAGAAGAGTATGAGTCCCAAGTGGGGATTCTAGAAGAGTATGAGTGCCAAGTGGGGATTCTAGAAGAGTATGAGTCCCAAGTGCGGATTCTAGAAGAGTATGAGTGCCAAGTGGGGCTTCTAGAAGAGTATGAGTACCAAGTGCGGATTCTAGAAGAGTATGAGTCCCAAGTGGGGATTCTAGAAGAGTATGAGTGCCAAGTGGGGATTCTAGAAGAGTATGAGTCCCAAGTGGGGATTCTAGAAGAGTATGAGTGCCAATTGGGGGTTCTAGAAGAGTATGAGTACCAAGTGGGGATTCTAGAAGAGTATGAGTACCAAGTGGGGATTCTAGAAGAGTATGAGTACCAAGTTGGGATTCTGGAAGAGTATAAGTACCAAGTGCGGATTCTAGAAGAGTATTTGTACGAAGTGGGGATTCTAGAAGAGTATGAGTACCAAGTGGGGATTCTAGAAGAGTATGAGTACCAAGTGGGGATTCTGGAAGAGTATGAGTACCAAGTGGGGATTCTGGAAGAGAATAAGTACCAAGTGGGGATTCTATAGCAGTTTAAGTGCAAGTGGGGATGGCGCCCCAGTCTACTTCACCTCATCTCCCCACTGACTAACCAACGCCTGGAGTCTATTTTATCCCCTACCCGCCCTCTGACGAACCAGCGCCTCAATCTACTTCACAACCGCCCCCAGACTAACCAAACGCCCGTTATGACGGCGGTCTGGAAAATAATCGAGTCTAGACCAGACAATCCAGTGATAAGCATCATGAGCATCGATCTACACACAATTGGGATACGATGACATGCATCAACCAAGTCAGCGAGCCTGACCACCCGATCCCGTTAGTCGCCTCTTACGACACGCACAGTCGCCCTTTAAGGCAAGCATGTGTTGCTGAAGACTTATTCTAAACACGTGTCTCCTGTTCGGAAATTATCTATTGATAACGGGAACGGATTTGAATCTATTGCGTTGTGCATGCACTCTTAATGTTATTAGGCTATCTTGTCTAGCCGCGATAGCACGTTGGTCGCGTTTGTGCACGTGCATCGCGTGCTGATCATGCATGATGTGTAATTTTATTGCGATCAGATGTTGCGTTCGGATGCAAAGCCACGGTATTGTAAATGTACACTTCAACGACACCTACGTTCCAATCATATTTCCCTTAGTTTTTGTAGGTGGTATGTCTTTATCGTGCCATACTGTATAGTCTGAAAGTTAATTTAAGGTACCGACGTTTACTACAATATCTGAAAAACTATTGGACCTATTCCAGTCAAAGTTGTTATGAGATCATTAAACAGTCATACATAACTGGATATTACATTTAAAGACAATCGGTGCATGAATAAAAAATCTGTCTATTTAGCTCTCACTATATTTCATCAACAACCAAGACCTGTTCGTCACGGGTGGAACGAGCATTCATTGTAACAGCCATCTGCATAATGCTACCCCTGCGTCACAGGGCCATATGACACAGTTGAACAAATCAACTCAACTCGAAAGGTTGCACGGGAATCACGCACGCACGAATACGGTGTTAGCATTAGATTTCATGATGTCTCAGCGCAAGCATCTTTCCGCTGACTATACATGCAACACGTGTCAAAATATTTCTTCGCCTTCTTCAATGAAGTCGCCTCGTGATCAGCATCGGTTGCCATGGGCCAGTTCTAGTTTCCAGGGGTGTGATGGGATGTTTGTTGTTTAACGCCACACTCAGCAATATTCCAACTCTATGACCGCGGTCTGTAAATAACCGAGTCTGGACCAGACAATCCAGTGATTGCGTCATGAGCATCAATGCACGCAATTGGGATACGATGACATGCATCAACCAAGTCAGCGTTTCTGACCACTCTATCCCGTTAGTCGCCTCTTGCAACAAGCTTAGTCGCCTTTTACGGCAAGCATGTGTTGCTGAAGACCTATTCTACTCCGGATCTTTACGGGTCTGAAAGGGTGTTTATTTGCAGTTACAAATGTAAATTGTATGCAAAACGTTCGTTAAAGTTACGTGGACAGTTTTAACTTTAATATAAAAGGTCGTATCATATAAGCGTACATGTAGCAGAATCTTCATCGACTATTCATATGTCGCTGATATTATTGGAATATGGCTGAATGTAACTTAGTGCAAATAAACAGATTATTATTATCGGCAGATACGGTGCGACCCCAGAATACTTGTCGAGTGTCACTGTCCCCTCACGTGGCGATGGAGCACGCGCTGATCATCACAGTTGGGGATTTTCCGTCTGTACAGTAAACACTCTTTATACATTCGTGACCAACTCGTGTTATTCCGGGACAAGCCGAATAGCGACTCGTGCCCCTCTCATGGCCATTTTTGCGACCGGGTTCCGTCTTAGCGCAAACGGGCATACCCAAAACAATTGTCAACTCGTTGCGTAATAGTTCACATATTATTTCCCCATGTATTATATATATTTCAGATGCAATTAAAAGCACATTGGGACGTGCGGAATTATACAGTATGATTGAACACATTTAACTGTGTCTTGGGTATATTTTAGATGCAAGACATATGTAAAATCAAAATTATTTCTGAGGGATTCTTTGACGAAGAACTTAAAATCATACGCGTATTCTGATTGGTTTGTCGTATTTTCGCACATAACATTCATCGATAGGGGGACGAGTCTTCTTGCAGGTTAAGGAAAGGGGCGAGTGGTGACGAATGACTCTTTATAGTGGCGCGGTACGTGTCAACTTCTTGTGCTCAAACAACTGGATCTTTATAAATTGATATTGATTTCTTATCTGGCGTTTAGTTTGATAGGGAAAAACATTCTTCAATTTATTTACCATCCACATGAGGGGCGGTAAGGTAGCCTAGTGGTTAAAGCGCTGGCTCGTCACGCCGAACGCCCGGGTTCGATTCCGCACATGGGTACAATGTTTGAGGCCATTTTCCGGTGACCCCCGCCGTGATATTGCTGGAATATTGCTAAAAGCGGCATAAAACCATACTCACTCACTATCATCCAAGTGTGTTATTCTTAGAAGAGAAAACCTATAGTACGTTATGAAATTTAATCATTTTTCAAAACTGATAAACATATTCTGTACAAGTTATTGTTTTATTCAGAGAGGTGAACTATTTGGCGGAGTCACAAATAGGTTTGTTTGCAAACATTTCTAAAATTTAACTTTTCCTGGCCATGAACGATGCGTTACCTTGACCTTGTCCGTATCGTCAGCATTCTCACATGAACAAGGTGAACACTGGCCAATGTTGCGGCACGGGGATAAACGAGAGAACGTGGTCCTGCAAAGTGAGGAAGTTTTTTCCTGTGTATGCCGATATCTACGACAATGTATGATAACAGTCATAAGTATGTCAATGATCAAACATGTCAACACACATACCGGAAAATCCTGGGGCGGTGGGGTAGCCTACTGGTTAAAGCATTTGCCATTCACACTGAAGGCCCGGGTTCGATTCCCATGATGGGTACAATGTGTGAAGCCTATTTATGGCGTTCCCGTCGTGAAATTCCTGGAATATTGCTAAAAAGCGGCGAAAAACCATATTCACTAACTCAGGATATTATTTTGTGAATGAGTGAACATTGTGATGCCACACCATCTTGTAATTAAGCACATGAAATTTTTTTTTTTTAAATTCTGAATAGTATTGAGTGAGTGAGTTGGGTTTAACGCCGCTTTTAACAGTATTCCAGTTATATCACGGCATGTCAGCTTAATGTGGGAGGAAAGCCCGAAGTGATGCAGGTCTCAGATGTTTACCACTTCGGCGAAACCCACGAGCACGGGTATGGTGCTGACGAACCTAGAAACATAATCGGGGCGAACCGGGATTCGAACCCACAATCAGAGTTTTCTGGCGTGACCAACTCTGCACAGCGAATCGCGGCCCCTTAGACGCCTGGGCCACCTCAACTTGTAAGCATAACAGTTTCTTAAACACTTTTCCTGTTATGTTAATATAAACCGCAAACATCATATATTTACCGTGACATTTAATAGACTATCTCCGATTTTGAGTTATTTTGTAATACATCGTTCTCATTTGGAGACAAACGGACTGTATATGGATGCATGAAGGCGAGAGTGGAGGTACGTGTCACATAACTAGGGCGATGACCTTTGAATACCACGGCCTCGTTTTCCCATAACTTGGACGCATTGTTGGACAAGTTCGCTGCGTCATCGTCAATGTTGATGTCGGAGACGGTGTTATTCTGGACGTTCATGATAGCATATCATCTGCCAGATAAACCAGCAATCAATTGCACCTGATATAACGCAGCTGTGCTAGGATGAAGGTTACGCACCAACGGCCATCACTACCACCACGACCAGCAATACCACCACTACAATCTCTACCACCACTACCACCACGACCACCACCACAACCACTACCACCACTACCACCACGACCACAACTACCACTTCTACCACCTCTAACACCTCTACCACCACTACCACCACTACCACCACTACCACCACGACAACCACTACCACCACGACCACCACGACCACCACGACCACCACGACAACCACTACCACCACGACCACCATGACCACCGCAACCACCACCACCACCACCACGACCACCACCACAACGACCACCACGACAACCACGACAACCACAACAACCACCACCACCACCACGACAACCACTACCCAAACGACCACTACGACCACCACAACAACCACTACCACCACGACCACCACTACCACCATGACAACCACTGCCACCTCTACCACCTCTACCACCTCTACCACCACTACCACCTCTACCACCTCTACCACCACTACCACCACTACCACCCCTTCCACCACTACCACCTCTACCACCTCTACCACCACTACCACCACTACCACCTCTACCACCTCTACCACCTCTACCACCTCTACCAACACTACCAACTCTACCACCACGAACACCACGACCACCACGACCACAACGACAACCACTACCACCATGACCACCATAACCACCGCGACCACCACCACCACCACCACCACCACCACCACCACGACAACCACTTACACCACGACAACCACTTCCACCACAACAATCACCACCACGACAACCACTACCCTCACGACCACTACGACCACCACAACAACCACTACCACCGAGACCAACACTACCAACACTACCACCACAACCACGAACACCACGAACACCACAACCACCACGACCACTACGACCACCACAACCACCACGACCACCACGACAACCGCCACCACCACGACCACCACCACCACCACAACCACCACCACCACCACGACCACCACGACAACCGCCACCACCACGACCACCACGACCACCACGACCACTACGACCACCACGACCACCACGACAACCGCCACCACCACGACCACTTCTACCACCACGAGCAATATGACAACCACTACCACCACAGCCACAACGACCACCACTACCACAACGACCACCACTATCACCACTACCACCACGACAACCACGACCACCACGACCACCACGACCACTACGACCACCACAACCACCACTATCACCACTACCA